CGCAAATTACTGCACGCAAAATTGGATCTTGATAAATCCGGCCCTCTGTGTATGCAAAATGACAATAAAAGTTGTCTAAGTCCAAGGTTTAGGGTTTATGGAACAGGACGCTTAGACAACAACAATAATTTCTCTACCTTTTCTGAAAACACAATGTCTTTATAGAACCTACCTACCTTACCTCTGACGTCAATAAGTATAAAGTAGGTAAAGTCATTTAGAGGTCGAGAAGCTCAAAGATTCATGTTCTTTGCTCTGATTACTGAGGGTGCTACTGTATAATATTGATACAAAGATAAAATGGTTCCTGGGAACCTTCAGGTAGTTCCATGGACTACCTATGATAACCTGGTTCAGATCAGGGTTCCCATGTCTAAGGGATCCTTAGCCCTAAAAAGGAGAATATTAGATCTTAGAGACGATCATCCAATGAGTCGTTATATAACTAGCAAAAGTTTTTAACAGTCTTAAAAAGTTAAATTATTTTAGAAGTCTGTCAAAATGTTTTATGTTTTGCTTTTCTGGAGTCATGCTGCTGCAGTTCCCTGCATTTCTACTGTTAGGTCTACTCTGGATGACCTCATTTTCATAGATATGGATGCAGGGATGAAACAGCATCAGTTCATCTGCTCACGATGCAGGATACTTAAATTATATTTACATAAAATGAAAACAGAAGAACAGTAACGCCCATTGAATAAATACAGTTGAAACTTATAGAAGAAAAGTGTGAGGATTTAACACAAAGAGGATAATTCAGAAACCTGACAGCAGGAAATATCTTATCTTTAACATTTCTCATATTTTCCATATTATCTTGTTTTGACTCAAACTATCCTAAACTAACCAAAATACACACACGGATGTGATGATATTTAATATGTTTACATTTTTTTTTAGAACAGTCATATGTGAGCTTTGTCTTGAAAGTATATGTACAAAGCTTTTCTTACTGATCTGGAACCTGATGAAGAAACGTTCTCCAAGCTTTCTAAAGGACTAATAGACTTTCTTTGAATAACCTCAGCATCACTTATTTCCTAAAAACTTATTCTATTTCTCTATCAAAGCAATTATATGAGACTTTATTATCTATGATAAACACTGTCCGCTGTATTAACAAATACAGAAGTAAAATAACTGTTCCTAGGAAAAAAAAAGGATTAGAAAGTGTCTGCAAAAACGAATTACACTTTATAGTGTCTACAAAAGACTAAAAACATTAGAAAATGTAAATATTACAGATAAATAAATATTACAGATAAAT